AGGAAAAAAAATAAACAAAAAAATATTATACGCATAATATATCCGAACATTGTATTTTCGTCGTTTCTAAATATAATCGAGATAAGTGTGTTCGTTAAAAAAGTTGATGAAGAAAAAAAATGCAATTGCATTTTGTAAATATGATGATTCCAATGATCGATAAATCACGGTGATCGTGAATACGTATATCGTTAAAAAAAGAAATAATTAAAACTATAAGTAACCATGAACTTTGATGACAATCAATGTGATTCGATTATAAACATACAGAACGACCTTTTGAACTTAGATAATAAAGTATGGATTTCCAAAAAAAAAAAAAAAAAAAAAAAAAAAAGGAAAAATAACGATTAGACGATATTATTAATTGGAATAGATTGTTAGAAACGATGATAATTAATTAATGCGCTCTCTCTCTCTCTCTCTCTCTCTCTCTCTCTCTCTTTCTCTGTCTCTCTTTCTCTCGAAACATGTTTCACTAACACACGAAACAGTAGCACAGCGTTTATTTGTTTTGTCTTTAATTACGATGGATCAATCAATCTACGGGATATATATCAGATAAATCTATTTACACGATGAATATGATGAATTTATATACAAATGATGTGTGTGAATTCTTTCAAACGGTCGGGTCCATCGTTTTCTATATTTTCGTTTCTGGTAATTTTTTTTCTTTCCTTTCCTTTTCATTTCTTTTCTTTTCTTTCCCCCCCCCCCCTTTTTTTTTTTTTTTTTTACTTTCTATGTCTCTAATTACGAGAAAAGAATTAATCGCTGAGATAAGAAAATTTGACATATCGATTACAATGTTCGCAGGTAAAGAACGCTTGGTAAATTTAATTACGATTAAGTATTATTTCAAATATTCTTCAATATTTTTCACCATTCGCTCTATATGCTCTGTTGAAAATTCTAATTATTTTTTATTTTTATTATCATTATCATTATCATTATCATTATCATTATCATTATCATTATCATTATCATTACCATTATCATTATTATTATTAATTCCTTTAAGATACACGCGACCTCAAACGCGGCTACTGTACAATGATTTTTCTATTTCTTCGTTTTTTCTTTTTTTCCCTCCTTTTTCTCCACCATCTCCTTTTTCTTCATCTTCTTATTTTATCTTATGCCCTTTTTTTAAAACTTCGTTAACGCAATAACGAAATGAAAGTGGTCGCGTGCATTTCCTTTCCCTCTTGCGAATACGGGAACATCATTTAAAAATACTTAGAAGATAGATAAATTACTTAATTACGACTATCTATGTACTTCTCTCTCTCTCTCTTTCTCTCACATATACACATACACACATACATACACTCACTCTTTCTCTCATTCTTCACTAATCATATTAAAACTCAATTCGAGTTTATTCGCGTAAAAAAGAGAACACATGTGATTCCTGTTCATTAAAGAAACCAAGAAAAATAAAAGATATAAAGAGAAACAAAAAAGAATATATATATACATACATACATACATATATATATATATATATATATATATATATATATATATATATATATATATATATATAGAGAAAAGAGTCAAACGAGCGACACAATACAACACTTACTACAGTGTTCTAAATACAAATACGTCTATCTAGATATTCTTTTCTAGTTTATCTTTTTTCCCTTCCATTCTTCCTTTCTTTCTTTCTTTCTTTCTTTCTTTCTTTTTTTCTTCCTTCCTTGTTTTCTCTCTTTCTCCCTTTCTTTCTTTCTTTTTTTATTTATTTATTTATTTATTTTTTTTCTTTACTTCCTTAAGATATATTTCCCTGTGAAACTACGAATTCCTTCATGTAAGACTTCTTAAAATCTAAAATCACACTCAGAACGTATAATTATCGTTATTTATATCGTTATTATAAGTAATCAATTAATCAATCAATTAATCAGTCAATCAATCAATCAATCAATCAATCAATTAATCAATCAATCAATCAATTAATTCATTTATCATTATAAACTAATCGTTTTCTTATTATGCATCATCATCATGCGTCCGGCTCGTTTTCACATTTATTCTTTCTTAGCTGATCAAACGTTTGAAAATATTTCCTTCGAGAGATCACGTTTACAACAGAAACAAAAAAGTCACTATTTACTAGCAACTTTTTCATTTTTCTATTCTCTCTATTGTAACCTCGTTTCTAATCTGTCTTGTTTTCTTTTTCTTCTTTTTTATTTGTTTCCGGTCGCTCGCACAATTATTCATCTCGGCAGTGTATTTTAAATGGAATATACATATGTAGTACTTATATCGTGATCCAACACGTCCGATCGAGTTCTCTTTAAATTGATATTTTCCCATGATCGTTTGATAAAAAAAAAAAAAAAAAAAAAAAAAAAAGAAAAAAAAAAAGGAAAAGAAAAAAAAATTTAACGTCTCCCCGTACTACTAAACGATGTAATTGTTTTTTTTTCTTGGTTTTTTCTTTTTCCTTTTTTTTTTTCTCTTTCGAACGATTTCATCTCTTTTTCCAAGTCAATCTCGCAAAATACAGATTTTTACGATCGTAGATCATCAAGTTGTAATGTGTTTTTCGTGATTGTGATCTAGTTTTCTTTTTGTTTTTTTTTTTCTTTTTTTTTTTGCTTTTCTTGCTTTTTTAATTTTTTGAAACGACACAACGGACAAATGGTCTCACGATTTAATATCGGTCGAAAAATTTTTCCCCAAGTGATAGGAAAAATGGGAGGGAAGAGAAAAAAGAAAAATTGAAAAAGAAAAGAAATGAGATATTAGAAAAGGAAATAATAGCGGAAGTTCAATTTCACCGTAAGCAACAAGTCGCGCATGGATCATGATAAAACGTCATAAACTTGATGATTATTACAGGAATCTTTTGTAATTTTTGGAAATATATAACATAATTATGTATATATTTCTTTCGTCGATCGACCGTGTTCGTGATTAAAATACAATACTTAGAAACTAATTATAATTTGATCGATCGACGTTCGCATATTGTTAATTCGCCGTTTATCGATTTTAACAATTTCGATGAATTCCTAAAAAAAAAAAAAAAAATCGTTGAAAGACTGTTATATCAAAGTCTTCGTACGATTTTACGATAAGATTAGAACAAGATTAGACGTGTAACGTATCTCCTCTTTTTCGAATATTCAGTTCGAACGTGCTGCTTCGGCTACGATTATTTCTAAACGACAACGAGAATGAAAAAGAGGCTCTCTCATTCATTCTCAAATACAATTGTACGTTTTTTTTGTTTTTTTTTGGTTCTTTTTTTTTTTGTTTTTTTTTTTATTTGTTTGTTTGTTTTGTTTTGTATTATTTTCTATTGCCGACAAGCTTACGTTCTATGGATTTAATTGAAAAAATTCGAATTCGAGTCGGCATTAAAAATCAATCCTCTACTCTCATCGTTTCCTCGGCTCATACGAAATGGATTCGTTCGATTAATTTTCTATCGAAGTAACAACCACGAGTACTCCAGTCTCTTTTTCTTTTTCCTTCTTTATTTTTTATTTACTTGCTTTTATTTATTTATTTTTGAACTTTTACTCCTTTCTTATTTCTCTTTTCAAAATCAATAGCTTCACGACATTCATATTTCTTGATCATATTTATCATCTTAATAATGACATTAAAAGTTATCGATCACAATGTCATATATCTCGATTATTTCGAAAATATCTTAGCCCTAAAATGGCCCTGCAAAATCGATCGATCCTATAAGGTTGATCATGTATATATATGTCTATATATATATATATATATATATATATATATATATATATATATTATATATGGTATACACATGTAGATTTATTTGTGTATGTACATGGGATCGTCGAAAATCTTTTAATTTTCTTACTCTTTTTACCTCTTTCGTAAAAACGTGCGCGGTCTCGAAAGAGACCTAATGATCGATCATTCGAAACATGTTGATCTTTATCTACGATCGAAACAAGATCGATTTATCATCGATAAAGTATATACACGCGTCGTACCGTTATATATATATATATATATATATATATATACACACATCATATATATATATATATATGTATATATATACACATAAATAAATTCACATGTCCGTAATTTCTAAATAGTCATAGAAAAGAGTAAAAGATAACAAGAGACTGGATCATCGTGTGGATCGATCGATTGATCGATCTATGAGACATTATTATTCTTTCAATTGGTCTTTTCGGTATTTCGTTTAGTTATCTCAGATCAATTTTACAATACACGAGCCTCTCATTTGCGCCTCTCTCTATTTCTTTGTCTCTCTCTCTCTCTCTTTCTCTCTCTCTCTCCCCCTTAACAAATTACATCTTCTATATCTCGTTCTCCTAGGCTCTCTTTTTCTCGTCGCGTTACTTTCGCGATGCGTCTACCCTTCCAACCCTTATCTAAACACACACACACACTCTCTCTCTCTCCCTCCCTTTCTCTCGCGTGTATACAATATTTATAATATATATAGATATACATATATGTATACATATATATATATATATCTATATTTGTACATACATGTGTATTCTTCTCTCGTTTATGTGCGCGTGTTCGTGTGTGTAAGTGTACATGTAAGAGTATGTGTTTTTTGTGTTTATGTATTATATCGGCTAGTCAAAAATTGAAGCTACAGTGTGCTCGGCAGTCTATTGTCTCTCTTGGCTCTTCTTCGCTATCTTTCATTCTCTTTCTCTCTTTCTCTCTCTCTCTCTCCCCCCCTCCCTTTCTCCTTATTTTCTGTCATCTTCTCCGTTTCTTCCTTCTTCCTTCTTGTTTTGTCTTCCCGGATAAGTATAAACTCGCTTCTCTTTTTCTTTCGAAAAGATCGTCCAAATGACGACGTAAAAACGAGAATACGTCTAAGGAATACCGGGAAACACGGTCCATTCTTGTGAGTTACGTGTCCTCTCTATTTCTTTCTTTTTTATTTTCTCTCTCTCTCTCTCTCTATCTCACACACACACACACACATACACACGCATACACTCTTTCTTTCTATCTTTTTTTCTTTCGTTCATTCATTCTTTGTCTGTGTTTTTTTTTGTGTGTCTCTTTCTTATTCCACGGAGAAGATTTATTCCCATTGGTGAGGAGAGGGTGGCAGTTCCGAAGGGTGGGCCACCGTCGAGCTGCAAGTTGTATGAAAATATTTTTAAATGACAATCTCTTTGGAAATAGATATATATATATATATATATAAATAATTAGTTAAAAAATAAAAAAAAAATAGGATTCACAAAGGGTTAGAGCTGTTTAGTTAGCAATAAGGTCATCATTACTTTAGGAGATTGCGGGGATGATGAAATTATTCGACGAATTTATATACTAATTATAATAATACATTATGTGTAATTTCAAATGAACACATATATAATATATGTATATATTCGTCGTATAATTTCATTCTTTCTAGCTAGTGATTTATTTCTACTGTCAAATCTTTGAAAATGTTTTTTTTTTTAAGATTCTAAATATGAATGAATAATTCAAAGATTTGATCGTTTGATCGACGAAGTCTATGATTCTTTTTTCAAATTCATTATTTTCTTTTCTGAGAATATAAACTTCGTCAATTTCTTTTTTTTCTTTTTTACTCGAATTTGTCAACGAGTATCAGCAGCACGTTTCCAATGCACTAAATTTGATAGGAGATATATGTATAATAATTGCGATAATTACTAAAGCATTGAAAGACTATAAATTCTAATAAATTTGTTATTTAATAATAAATGCGTGCTAACCAAAAGCTCTCTTTTATATTGTCACTGAAATACATACATACATACATACATATATCTATCTATCTATATATATATATATATATATATGTATATATACACACACACTCACACATATATATATATATATACATATAACAAATGGATGCGCACTGCGTGCTCATGACAAAGTCTAAATTCGGAGAGTCGTTCCGATAAAACTCTACGAATTTAATAAGAAATGACAAGAAATGGGATAAACAAAACGAAACAAGTAAACAAATAAATCATAAAACATAAATCATCTTACTCTACACATAATCTACTTGTTTTTTTTTTTCCTTGCTTGTCTCGTCCCGACTCTTCGAATATTCGAGTATCACTATATATATTGTCCTAAGGACTTAATATATATATATATATATTTCTTTTTATTTTTTTAAATAAAATACTTTTTACGAAAACGTGCTTTTTAGGGATGCTTATCATAAGAAAAACAACAGAAACAACGCTCATCTGATTTCCATGCAGCTGTCAGCATGCGTGACAGCCGAGGGCGTACACAAATCTCTTTTATTTTTTCAGATATATTCTTTGCTTTTTCCTTGTTTTCCCTTGGAAAAAAAAAAAGAAAAAAAAAACAAAAAAAAAATAAAAGAAGAAAGAAAAAAATCAAATCGCAAAGACAAATCGATTTCTCTCTCTTTTTCGCTATTACTTCGTTTCCCGATCATTTATTTTTATTTCTCAAAAATTTTATTCCCCCTAAATCTTTCACACTCGTCGCTTATTTTCCGTCCGCCTTGGAATTTTTTCTTTTCTTTTCTTTTTTTACTTTTCACTTTATTTTTTTCTTTTTTTTTTTTTTTTTTCTATTTTACTCTCATTTTATTTTATTTTATTATTCTTTCACCGCATTTCCTCCCCCTCAAGCATCGTCCCTCCTCCTTGCCCTCTGCTTGTGGAATCTTGTCCTTCTATTTTTTATTTTTCTTTTTTTACTTTCGTTTTTTAATCAATACTATTTTTTTCTCTACTTTTTCTTCTTTTCTCGGTATTTTTATTTATTTTTCTTTTTTTTTTTTTTCCCCTTCTAAGCGAGAGACGGGCCACAAGCGCGATGGCTCTCCTTTGGACTTTGCTTTGCCAAGTTCTCCTTCGTGGAGAAAAAGAGAGGAGAAGGAATGGAATGAGAAGGGGTGAGGAGAAGGAGAGGAGGAGAAGGAGGAGGAAGTGGAAGAGAGGATCGAGAAAAGCGTGACATGAAAATAGCGCGTAAACAAAGGATAGCTTGAAAATGGACTGATCTCTCTTTTTTTTTTTTTTTTTTTTTTTCTTAAATATCTTTTCTTTTTGTTTTCGTATTTTATATCTTGCGTCCCACCCCACCACCGTTCACTTCTCTTTTATCTTCTTTTTTAATTTCTCCTCCTCCTCCTCCTCCTCCTTTTTATCCTCGCTTCTTTCTCTTTTTCTTTTCCTCTTTTTTTTTTTTTTTTTTTTTCTTCACTTTTAACTCTTGCGGTAAGAAGAAAAAGTAGAAAAAATCTTTTATCTCGCCACGTGATTATTATTCTTCATATTATAAATAACATAAAAGAGAGAGAAAGAGAAAGAGAGAGAGAGAGAGAGAGAGAGAGAGAGAGAAAAAGAAAGAGAGAAAGAAAGAGATAGAGAGAAAGAGAGAAAGAGAGAGAGAGAGAGAGAGAGAGAGAGAGAGAGAGAGAGAGAGAGAGAGAAAGGCAGAAAGAGAAAAAGAACTTGGCTC